TATTGGAGGCTTAATGTACGGATAATCACAGAGAAGCGACCAATGCAAATGAGAAGGCCACACCAAAACTCAAACCCAGTGCCATGTAGATTCCCATGGCAATACCAGCGCACTCCTTCCTCTCGGACGTCACGTAACTGGGTGAAAAAGAAATGTTGTTCAAAATTTAAATATGCATCGTCTAATTCATAATTAACATTGCTGCTGATTATATGCAAATCTTAGTGTTCGAAGTATCACCAAGGTCATTGCTTAACAAACAGGACAGTTTAATTATTAGGAGGTATTTTATAAGGGAAAATATTCAGTTTAAACATTTTCAAATGAATAATAACAACAAGTATAATTATTTAAGGGTTGTATTGAAGATACGCATACAAGTTCTGCGGGGATTTTTTCCAGAGGTTATAGTCATGACAGCCTTTTTCCTTACTCCTTTGAACAGCCTTGAGAATTTTAAATAGTTATCAGAAGTACGCCATCGGGAGAGCAAAAATTAAGAACCATGGTTATGCGCCCAATTCCTACTTTGCACGAAACTGTAAAAGAAAATTATTGAATACCCTCCTTAGTAAAGTCTATTTTACGGAATGTTCTTCAGTCTTCTAGAATTAGTGAAGTCATTGGGATTCCAAATCCATTGAATCGGATCCTTATCTATTCTCCAAATAAGGGCCTTAGAGTGTGGAAGGTACTCGTGCGGATAGTTTAATGAAAAAAAGCATAATCATAAAGGTTGCGGCTTTCAACTATTAAGTGTAATTAGCACTTAAGCTCATGGTTTTTTCCTAAAGTTTAACTTTAAGCCTTCACCTCTTCCCTAAAACGATCCCAAATTGCTGATATTCGTTAACTCAAAACTTGCATTCAGCTCGCCTTGGTTATTCTAAATCTTTTAGGTGCGGAGTATCATACAAGAGTAATTGCCTTCCCAACCACTGGAAGAGGGTTAATTAATTGAGATCTCATGACTGACCCCTCGTGATTAGATAACTGCTCGTCCACTATGCACTAGGCATCGTGGACGAGTATTTCCTGGAATTCACGGGAAGGCTAGTGCCCATTTACTAAATATCGTATCCTAAATAACTGCTTAAGCAAATGGAATTTCCATGCAATTTTTAATTCCATTTTCATCAATCTCGTCTCATATCACTTTCTATGTAATTTTGGTAACTCACGGTTGTCTAAGTTATAAATCAATAAGTTAGGTCATTCCGTCTGATTTGTCTTTATGGAAGTTTAGATGACACACTCCTCGTTTGCCTGACAATCTAAACTAGGCAAAGTTGAGTTCATATACACTTCTGATAAGGAGTCATTACGTGAATTGAGACGTTTTGAGTCTAAGTTAACATAGAATGAAGATTATTTTTTAGTTAATAAGATCATTGTGAAGAAGGATGATCATTTCAACTTGTGATCATAAAATAGTGCCAGTATTTATTAAATTGAACGCAGGTAACTTTGAGGAGCACTGGAGACAATAGATGCTTTATTTCCCTCTCTTTCGGTGTCTTCCTCTCTCACGTTAAAAGTGCTTCAACATAGAGAATGCTGTGTATGTTTCACCCGACTTATAGTTTTCGAATTACCGAGTTTCACAAAGCTAAATTCTTGTTCGATAAACTATAAATTGAAATAAGCAATTGGGAGGCTAGGTACTTACCTTGGTCCGTGAATAACCCCAAGGGAGACGAAGTATCCATTGGTGAGGCCTGTTGTGATAATTAAGCAAATTGGCCAAACGTCGCCAATCAGAAGAACTGGAATTCGCGATCTTGGTTGTTCGTTGCAGAACATACTCAGCGGAATGAGGATGAAACGAAGCGCCACAAATGTTGCGAATAGCCACGACTTATCAGGGGTTGGCTAAAAGGAAATTATTTTTTTAAAAATGGGGTGTGCGATAGACCTACCTCCACGTGGTGCACCCTGCGCAACGTACACTCATACGGCAAAAAAGTCTATTAACCGGTAGTTGACTTCTGACTTCAAACTACCCTCACCCCATTGTATGTCATATTCGACTACTTCCACAGCACTCGCCTCACCTTTTTCTACTTTTGTGTCTGTTTCTTTTACATCTTTGGAGCTCTATTCTGTTTCGCCTCTCCTTCTCGACTTGTTTCACTTTGATGTTCCTTCTCTTCTGTGAAGCCTGAAGACAACCAAAGGGCTAATGATAGCTTTCACAACGCCTGCTATTTGATATAAATAAATATTTTCTTTCGCAGATTAAAACAAAATATTTTTCTAATGAAAGGCAATTTATTTTGACATTATTGAGTCAATGTTGCGATATTACATTTAATTGCTTATTGGTGTGAGTAGAAATCAATTTTTTGCAATTTAAAATGCAACTGACATGCACAATGGACGTATCAATAATGGAGATGTTTATGATGGCCCTTCATTTATTTACGGTTAAGTAAATGGACAGATATGCCGTTAATGGTCAGATTGAAACTCTGCTGAGGCCTTAAAATGATGCGTACTTCATGCTAATGAATATGCTTTTATATTTGGCGCCAAAATAATTATAGCCTGAAGTATAATGTCTGAATTATGCACAACCAAAATGTAATACGCATTCGTTCGGGATAATGTGGGTTATTTCTACTTTTACTCACATAGGCAATTGCATTTAATTTAGATCATTTATGTACATTTATGAAATTATATTTGTTATTCATACGCTAATATACCAGACCTACTTAAAGTATCAACTGTAGCTGCTTGAAGAGCGGATAAAAGTACAATTTTGCTAAGTATTGATTTCAAATTTTATTGAACCTTCACAGTCAAAGCGTCACACGGAAGTACATAGTACAGGCCAGTGTTTGCTTAGAACAAGTCACTAACTAAATGTTAACAGAATCGCAGAACAATAAACTGGGGATCTTAAAAATATCTTTGAACAAATCAACAGCACACGCTTGCACACACACACCCACTTACTTATGATTATTCAACCACTATGGAGGCTCAGGTAAGCTAAGGGGGGGGGTTTAAATTTCCCTTTCTGGGGTATTAAAACTCAGAGTTGTTGAATACAATGAAATTTCTTATCTTCCCTTAAACTTTTGGATGAATAAATGTGAAGCAGTAGAAAACGATTAACTCCCTTGATTCGAAAACCATAAACAACCATTAGATGTGGATAAAATATTACATGTAATCCGGTCAAAATAGATAGTCAAA